GGATTCTGTGATTCCGGACAGAAGCCCCTCCTCTCCTCAGGACAGTGACGTACCCACCTCCCATCCACGTACACCCCGTTCCCTGCAGTCAGTGACACTGCTCTCAGCTTCCCTGGGCGGCCTCTGAACCCGCACAGCCCTCACACCGCCGTTATTTTTGTTATTTCAGCGCTCAATAGCTCGGTTTGGGAGCTGGCAGAGGAGCGTACGTATCCTGCACAGCACCCCAAGCCAGAGAGGGGCAAAGGACAGAGGGTTATCTGGGATTCTGGAAAGCAAGTCATTCCCTTTCTCAGCATCAAGCAGCAGTGCTAACAGCACCTGGCTAACTCCGATACAATGCCCCAGAAGGGCTCTGGCTGCTGCCCTCCGAAACGCAGAGCCGTTTCCTGCCAGGGATCCGTTACCTTTGCTCGCAGGAGGCTGCAGGATGAGGGTGTGTTCCCTCTGGAGGAAGTGCAGCTCCCGGGCCACGTGGCAGGCAGTGAGCGGATTGTCTCCTGTTATCATCACTACCTGAGGGAAAAGAGAGAGGGGTCAACAATCAGTTGCAGTCAGATAAGCAGCACTTCACAGCGAGTCTTCTTGATGCCCAAAACCCTTCTGCCTAGCTTGGACGCTGGTGACATTCCCCACGAGATGTAGCTCTGCGCAGCACCCTGCAGGAAGGCTTTCCCTCTAGGGGAGAGCAAATCCCACCGCAAAAATAACATCGTGCCCACAAGGTCTCCCTGCCTTTGCCCTCGCTCCACAAAGGCTCCCGGTACGGACACTCCACATCCCAAACGCCGTGGCTAACGGCAGGACGCTGCCGACGCTTACGTGGTGCGATGCATTCTGGATCTCCCTGATGACGGATTTAGAGTCAGCTTTGAGAGGACAGGAAACCACAATGAATCCAACGAATCTAAGGTCACACTCCAAAGCTTCACGTTTCATCTCTCGCACCTGCCAAAGCAAAGCAGCAAGCGGAGCGTTACCTGCTGCTTTGTAGCAGCAATGCTGTTTCCCAGTGGGTGCAATCAAAGCATCACCAAAAACACAACCGGGGCTCCGAGAGGTTGTGGAGTCTCCTTCTCTGGAGATATTCAAGACCCGCCTGGACAAAGTCCTGTGCAGCCTGCTGTAGGTGACCCTGCTTCGGCAGGGGGGTTGGACTAGATGACCCACAGAGGTCCCTTCCAACCCCACCATTCTGTGATTCTGTGTGAAGGCCGGACAGTGCCTAGCTGCTCGAGAAGAAAGGCTTCTTTGGCACAAAGCTCCGCAGAGACAGTGGAAAACAATTACACATGCCCATCCCCACATAAAACCAGGCTCACAGAATGGTGGGGTTGGCAGGGACCTCTGGGGTCACCCAGCCCAAGCCCCTGCCCAAGCAGGGTCACCCACAGCAGGCTGCACAGGACCTTGTCCAGGCGGGGCTGGAATATCTCCAGAGAAGGAGACTCCACAGCCTCCCTGGGCAGCCTGGGCCAGGGCTCCGTCACCCTCAGAGGGAAGAAGTTCTTCCTCGGGTTCAGCTGGAGCTTCCTCTGCTCCAGGTGGTGCCCGTTGCCCCTTGTCCTGTCGCTGGGCACCACTGGAAAGAGTCTGGCCCCGTCCTCCTGACCCCCACCCTGCAGACACTGACCGGCATTTCTAAGGTCCCCTCTCAGCCTCCTCTTCTCCAGGCTGAACAAGCCCAGCTCCCTCAGCCTCTCCTCCTAGCAGAGATGCTCCAGTCCCCTCACCATCTCTGTAGCCCTTCACAGCCAAGAAGCTCAGTGCAAAGCCTCTTCAGCTGCTAGAAGGAAGGAGCTGACCCCGCTTTACAAACAGGGAAACAGAAGCAGCGATCAATGACGCAGAGGAATTCAAAGCTGGGATCACAACGCAGAGGCTGTGATCCTCCCAGAAGATCCACATTGTGAAAACAACACGGTTACAGCAGCTTCGGGCAACCACATCTTGAAAGAGTCCTGCCCCTCTTCCCTGCTCACACCGCCTCCGTTTCCTTTAATGGGTGCTCGATTTCAAGGCTTAAACAGACAAATTTACCTGCTGGTGAGTGAGGTGCCCCAGTTCTTTGTAGCCAAGGGCCAGCACTCTTGCCCCCTCGTGTGAAATTTCCGTGTGGACAGCGTGATAGTTGCTTGGGCACTGAGACAGCTAGAGGAGGCGTGGGGAAAAGCATCATATTAATGCAGTTTCCAACACAATTCAGGAGCATGTTTCAGCATTTTGCATTAAATACACAGACAGGGGAAAGAGGCACCTTTGGGAGGGTCACAGAATCACAGAATGGTCGGGGTTGGAAGGGACCTCTGGGGTCACCCAGCCCAACCCCCTGCCCAAGCAGGG